GGATTTTTCAGTCCTCCACAAAGTTCCACGCCATCTACCTCACCAGACTCTGTTAAAAGACTCTCTGGCTTTACTTTTATCTTAACTGGTTTACCGAGAAGTGATTTATCTTCCATTCTTGCATTTTCATGGGCTCTTGCACACACTGGAAAACCTTGATCATCCCAAGACTCCAAAATTACACCGGAGCCCAAGCAGGTTCTTCCTTGGTAAAAGGCCGCAAACTGCCCAGCTGCCAGGCCTTGATCATCTTGAGATAAGTGGACAACTGCGACATCTTCATGACCATCTTCACCAGGTTCCATTATAAAGCTGCACTTACAAAAGGCAGGCCCATGCCTAACCTGAAAGGTTTAAAACATTTCAGCTTCTTCTGACTTGGATTCTAAACAGTAAACATTAACCACAAACCATACAACACGATTCAAAGCTTTCCTTGTACGACCCTTCCTTGCGAAACTTGTCGACATCCAAAAACACACATAACAATTGGTCTACATCTAACTAACACAACTTGATTTAAGACTTTATGTGATGGATGGTGGTACAATAAGTTGTAAGCGCTTCCAGGTGCAAGTTCTGACTTTGATACGGAGTACAAGACAGAGAAGACAACTAAAACTAGTGGTAAGTTTTCTATGCCACAGTCAAGAGTCATTACTTATGAGACTGCCACTAACATAAAACTGTCTTGTTTTCAAAACTCAAAAGAAAAGACAAGATCAACTAAAAAGCAAAGAACAAAAACAAAATGAAACAAAACAAAATCGTGTAAAAATTTTAGGCTAGAAACATCTACTTGATACATTCATTTGTATAGATAATTTTTTCCCCTTTTGTTTTGAATCATGCTGTATGGTTTGTAGTTAGTGTTTACATTCATTTGTACAGATAATTTCTTGTTGTAGTAGCAGTGGACCCACAACGTGGCCACTATGCATGTTGTGCATTAATTGATAATATTGAGAGTATGAGTTCAAGATTTATAAGGAAATTATGGATAAAAGTCATTTTAGAGTTAGACCAATATTTACTCAACAAACAGTCGTCGGGAAAACAATAGCATTGCATTCTGAAAACTAATATAAGGAAAAACCTATAACATCCTTGTACCTTGCACTCTAGCTGACTGATCTGGTTTGGGGACAAACCATTTAGCCATTTCAAGGAGCCTGCACGAAACAGGCGCCTTCTTTTGTCAACTGAAAAGTAATTTCTTGACACAAAAACGACATTGTTTTTTATATCCTTCTCGACAACATACCTACAAAAGAAGATACAGCAGACAGTAAAGCTGAAACCCCGTTTGAAGTGGTACAAGGAGACCCAAACATAAGCTCATACACTGATTCTCAATAAACAGGGATACAGATAATGTGCACATATGTCTCAACCTTTCCTTACATGGTTGAGTTTCTACAGTTGAAAAATGCAAGGAAAAATATTTGGTATCATACAAACATGCTTCAATATCATAATGTAGTCTCATGTTTTCAACCAAAAATTGCACGCCTTTGCTTGCAATGAATTTTACCTTTCAAAAGTATTCATGCTACAAAGGCACAATCACATTTTGTAGGAATATCCGACATGATTTTAGTAGCTACTAGCTACGTCAAGGGAAATAATGATATAGAAGTCATTATCATCCTATATATCATACACAGTGGAATACTGATGTTCAATTTAGAACCATATAGCAATTTAAAACTACTGGGTAATATAACAAAGTTAAGTCTGTTAAACACTGTAATATTGCAATTATAGATTCCCAAATGACCAGTTTTAGGATTAAAACGATAACACAGGTACCACCAGAAAACCTTAGAAGTGGTCCAACAATTACAACAAGACAGCATACCAGGGTCCTCCAGGGAGGTGTAGACCTTGTCGTTGACCAATTGTGTAGAACCAAAACCCCCGATGATTTCCTAGGAAATCTCCTGACTCAGCTTCCAATATGACACCTTCCTTCTCCCCTATGTGTCTCGCTATAAATTCACTGAACTTGATCTATTATTAAAAAAAAAAAAAAAAAAAAAAAAAAAAAAAAGGGCTGAGTGAACGATGTTAGGAATTTTAAAATGTCCACTCTACCATACAAATTTTGGCGTCTATATAGTTGTGCCATTCAAAGGGTGAAATTATTTTCTGCAAACGGGTAGGAATGTTGGGAGCTCCACAAAACATACCTTCCCTAGAAAGCATATTCCTTGTGAATCCTTTCTGTCTTTGTTAGGCAGATCAAACTTTGTTGCAAGTTTGCGAACTTCATCCTATAGAAATATTCATAGAAAAGGAATCGACATAAAGAATTACATGCAAGAGTGAAGACTGAAGAGTCTACAGAGTGGAAAGAAGTAACAAAAAATGAATTAAAAGGATTACAAACATAAAGAAAGAATACAATGAAGGAAAGACTACAAATTACAAAATAAAAGATAACATATTTTCACAAATTCACAACAATAATGCTATTTTTGTAGCAATGAGAAACTGTGGAAAAGTTTGTTATGGACAAGTTAACAATTCACTTCATTTCAACATGTATTATATAAGATTATTAGAGAATTTAATACAGTAACGGTGAGCCTTTTCAAATTTTTGTAGACAATACATGATTTACTCCCCAGCTGAAATTTGTGATTCAAGAAATATTATGTGCACATTTTAGAATTAGCTAAGAGAAGTATCCAATGAAGTATTGCATAGCATTCAAACTATAGCACCCACCCACTAACCTTTGACAGACAACCAAGTGGGAATATTAATCTCCTAAGCTGGGCCTGAGAAAGATTTGAAAGGAAGTATGTTTGATCCTTCACCTACAAATTCAGAAGTTTGATATTATTTAGAAGGAAAAATCAGCATAAAAAAAATATAGCAGGAAATGAGATGCAATCCCGTGATGTTTCAAGGCTTATCATAACAGAGAGACATATAAATGATGATGTATGATGACAGCAAAACTTACATATAGGTCTACATAGCAAAAAACCCTATTTGAATCAAATGAAATAATCTCAAACTTAACAAGTTTAACAAGCCAATATTGATAATCCAAAATGACAAAAAGATGAAAATATAAGTTGTCAATGGTGTATCATATATAGGTACCATATCTTGTGAGAGTTCTAGAACAGAATCTTTGTCCGTTTGACTTGCAGGTGGGTGGACAACATTCGCGTAATGCCCAGATGCCACATAGTCAAACTTCATACTGCTGATGGCGTCCATGAATGCACCTGAAAAGTAACATAAACTTGAACAAACAAAAAACCTAAAAGTCGGATTCTGCATCACAAGAGTCAGAACTAAATCTTAAATTCAACTCATTGCATACCAAACTTTATTCTTGTATTGCAAAGAATATCGGGGTTAGGAGTTCTGCCACATTGATACTCTTCAATAATGTAGGAAACCTGAAACATGATGGGAAGAAAAACTTCAAAAGTTTCTTCCGGTTACCCAATGAGAAGGCAGCTGATAATGAAGACTGGCCAGAAAAATAATTATCCATTTAAAGCTTTTTTGTTGTTTTTGTGACATGGCAATAATCTAAACTACAGGAGGGTAAATCAAACTTGGTGCAAGGGTTGAGAACACTCTGTTGACCAACTGGCCTAACCCACATATGCTATTATAAAGTTTTAAAACTGACATTGATAATAGAATATTAAACAGTTGTGAGATATAATCATCAAGGATATAACTACTAAAAGGCTACATACAGATGTGACTACAATTGGAACATAACCTACAATTGAAGCACAGGGAAAGTAATGAATACCACATTCTTCCAATATTCATCCGTCAAATGCACAACTTCTAGTGGGACATCAACCTGTAAACAGATGTCATTAGTTTCAGTTGTTAAGAGCCACCGCTTGCATAGCCTATACCAAGAAAACCATGATAAACTTCTTCTATCACAAACAATAGCAAGAGGTTTCTGCCAAAAACGTGTACATATGGGATTTTTTATTGATAAATGTAAGGCAGATGGATGAAAAATGAGGATAGAGAAATGTAAAGATCAAATGTGAACACTCATGTCTGTGTTTATAACTCATAGCACCCCACAAAATGTGAACACTCAGCGTGAAGCCTCATTTGGAAACATAAGATTAAAGATCAAACCACTTTCGCCCCACTATATGTTGATAGTTTAGAAAAAAAAAAGAAGATTGCAAGTGAAATAAAGTGACCTGATTGCAGATAGCTTTTGCATACTTCAAGTCTTCTTCCCATGGGCACTCTGACCAATAGTTCTCAAAGTCTTCCTACACAAAACCACACATCAGAAGCAGCTCAGCTTTTTTTTTTTTTTTTTTATAATTTTTTTTATTTATATTCTCAAAATAATCAAAATTTTAACAAAGTAGCAGATTCAGCTGAATCAGAACACCCGAAATACGAAATGAATCCAATCAATAACCCAACAAGTTCACATTTTTATCTGTTGCTACACTACCCAATAGAAAATATTTCCCAATTCTTCTAAAACTGTCAAAATGGGATTCATTCAAACATACTTGGAACCAAATTTTGAGGTAGAAGGCGGTGCAGGAGTGACCGGCGGCATGGAGGAGGCGGAGGGCGACACTGCTATCGACGCCACCGCTAAGCAAGACGGCGACTTTAAGGCTCTGATGGGGCATAGAACAGGACAAGTAAGGGCCTACATCTCCATTGAAGCTGTTTGGAGCGCGCGGAGTTTGGGGGACCGAGAAGCAGTTGACGGAGCGGGCGGAGAGAGAGAAGGGTCTGAGGAAGAGGAGAGTTGTCGGGGTTGGAGAGCGAGGAAAAGGCCAGATATAGGGTTTGAGAGCGAGAGTGTGGGAGGTGATGTGGGGGAATAGAGAGGCTGCCATGGCCATTGGTATTAATCTCGCCATTGGTTTCGTAGCATACACATTATACAGTAAACGACAGCGTTTCGGAAGGTGGAGGTTGGGGGAAAAGTGCTGATTTGAAATTGGGGTTTTTGGTTTTGGAGGGGAGGAGGAAATGGCGGTAACAGTGGATGACGAGGAGGAGCTTCCAGATAAGACGGTGCGAAGCAATTGCCGTACAGCCATAGCAGCTGCGTTTCTCATTTCTTCTGTTATTGATGGGCTTAAAGACGATTTCTGAGTTTATTGGGCCAAGGTTAGGAACATTTGGGCTGTATAGGTGCGTTTTGTTGTACTAGACTATTTCGGATTGGATTAGCTTTAAAGACTAACATGGACTGGTTTAGATTAGACTAAATTAGACTGGCTTATTGAAGCACTTGGTATAGGGTCAGACTAAGAAACAAGATAATGAAAATATTATTGTCACCAGTTTGATGTTTGCTTGGACTGAGATTAAATTATTGTTCTATTTTAAATTCTTTTTTATTAAAGATATTATCAAAATTAATAATATTGGATGAAAGTGAGACTCAATAAAAAATACAAAAACCAATTTCTTGCCAACGAAAGAAACATACATGTTTCAAGAGTAGCTTTTGTGGATCCAAATTTCCGCCGTTTTCTACTTTGACGAAAATGCACCTGTAAAATAATAACACCTAAGATTTAGACCAAATGCCTCACGCACCCATAATGAATGGGTGGGGCTTTGGCTGAAGAATCTTTGATGCCAAAGTTAGAATTCTGAAAAGAATGTGTTTAGGAGTTTGTGGATAGCCAGTGACTTAGCTTTTTAGTGGGATAATGGGATATTTATAGGGGAGTGGCCGACCCTATTTGGGGAATAGTGGCTGGCCATATATGGAGAAATTGTGTGAGTAATTGTAAGATATTATGTGAAATAATATCTTGCAATTAACATGGTAATTAATCCTAAATTAAATAGGAAATTTGAGAGTTACCTTTTGAATAGGATTTGATGAGGAGTGATGAGAGGGATTTGAATAAATACAATTTTGATCACCTTTGAATCTTCTTTGATTGAGCCGTTATTGTCCGTTGCATGTGTGTGGGAATCCCGGTGTGCCTTGAGGGCAATTTTGTCATTTCAATCCAAAAGTCTACGTGTCACCTCCGTAATTTTCTTAATTATTTTTTGCTCCGCAAATGCCCCACACCTATTGGGCTACTTGTAGGAAAGGGCACCAGGTGTAGATATCTTCCCTTGCTTTAGAACATAAGATTGTTTCCTATTTTGGTGTAGATTCTCACATTAATTGGAAATTAAATCCTTCTAGGAAAGGGAAATAAATCACTTCCAAAGTCTATTTAAGTCTACCTTAAGTAGATGATTAAATCAACTTCAAAGAGCAATTTATTCTACCCCACAAGAGAGAAAAAGCTAGAGGATATTTGTTCCCCCTTCCCTAGCAATCTTCTACACTTGCCCGTGCAAAGGACCGTTTTTCATTGCTTTCTTCGTCTTCACGCCGCACCAAGGTAAGAAAAAAATTAATTTTCCTTGTCTTCTTAATTTTTGGGAGCCTTAGGGCTTGAAATTTGGCTCGACGAGGGTCGAGGATGTGTGAAAAAATGGTAGGGGAGGCCACGACATGGCTGCTGCCATAGGTGGCTGCTGTCGGCTTGGTGCAGCGGTGACTCAACGCTGGCCGAGGTCTGGGTGCAGCGGTGTGGGTTGCGGAGACAAATTGGGGCTCAGCTTGGATTCAGCTGGCATGCGCCATGGTTATTGCCTTTAGGTTGTGAGGCCTGCTGCACTTTTTATATATTTTTTTATTTTTTTGTGTTTGCAGCCATTTAACAATTCTTCATTGTGTCTTTGTAGAATTTCTTCGAGCATGTCTTCTTCAAGCCACAAGAGTGATGATGGTGTGCTGCTGTTGTATCGTTAAGGCGGGTTTTTTAGTAAACTAGGCTACTTCAAGGCTGCTCACTTCAAAATTTATTCCGATGACTCATTTAGAGATTTCCTTGAAGCATATAGGCATGTCGTTCCATCTGGGATGCATGTGTAGTGTGTCAAGGAGGGTAACAGCCGTGAGCCATGTAATGGGGCTCAAAGAGCTATCAAGTTTCACCCCTACTACTTTGTGTTGGGATTTATTTTTCTTATGCTATGTTTCTTCCAAGAAGTGCTTTGCTTTATGAAGTGTGCCCCCGCTCAATGTTCTCCAAATGCGATTCGTGTGTTGGTGGGATTCCTCAATCTAAACCAATTCTTTGACTTGGATCTAACCGTCAACGAATTATGGTACTTATTTGACATAGGTCATATTGATGGAGTTGGGCAGTTGCAATCCCGCCATAAGCTCTTCGATCATTCGAGCAAGAGACAAGTGAGGCAATAAGTCTTTGGAGACAAGTGGAAATCTGATTCTTCCCCTAAGTTGTGTGTTTCAACGATTTTTGTCACTAGTAAGTAGACTGTTTGGTCTTTAGGCTGCTTTGTGCTTTTGCTGAGCTGCCTATTAATTTGTTGATTATCCTCCTTTATCTATATAAATTCAGAATTTGGCTTCACTCCCCAGACTTCTCCAAATATAAAGAAGGTGCACGCTGCTTTAGGTATCTTCACTGAGTATCGTGAATGGTGTTGGCTGCTTAATCCTCTTCACCGGGAGAAAGGTGGGCTGCATTCGAGAGAGAAGATCTTCCCTGCTTGCTCAAGAGATGCCAGTTGAGAAAAGACCAAAGGCTTCTTCCGCTGCTCGTGAGGGTCCACCCACTGCCAAGAAGCTTGTGATCGACTTGACTTTTTCCAAGAGGAAGAAAGATGAGGCTGCTAGTGAAGGAAATTTTTTATCCTAGCTAAGAACATGTGAGAACATTTGAACACATATGCAAACTAATAACACTTTAAAGTAGGCATGCATTAAAAAACAATTCTAAAAACCCATGACTTTCAAAGCCTAATGAATGGTGAACCACTAACAACATTAAAGAGAAGAAAGGATTTTGAAATTCATTACCCTTGAAGCTCATCTTTGTTTACACAAGGGAGTCACCCAACTGGAGGGCCTTCAAGTCACCTCCTAGCTCCTTAGATCTTCCTTGTGATTTTCTTCCTTTTGATATTCCTTTGCTCCTTGAGGATGTGAGGAAAGGATCTCCAAGAACACCAAAGGTTTGGTGTCTCTAAGTCTCCACACCAAGGATGAGATGTGAAGATGAATGGATGACTTAAAGGAAGAAAAATTGCTAGCTATCCCTCCCCTAAGTGGCCGGCCTCTATCGAGAAAAAGAGAGAAAAAGTTTCTCTTCTTTTCCTCAAGAAAACCCTTAGTGAGATAATGGCTATAAAGTTGCCTTTATATCACCTCACATGTGAGTGGCAAACTTGCAATTAAGCGAAGTTTGCATCCACTTACCCTACGCCGGTTTTGACTTTATTTTTGGGTTAATTTCCATTTAGTTTTAGTTGTCACACAACCTAAACTCAATGGGCCTTGTGGACCAAAAACCCTTTTGGGCCCTGAAACCCAAAACCAACTAAAAGCTCAATACGAATCTTTCGTAAGATTAATTAACTAATTAATTAATCTTGACCATTCTCAATTAAACTATTTAATTGCTTACCCATCTCATATATATTTTTTCACTTACATCCTTAATTGGTGAACGATCCATTAGGTTTCAATTAGAGAGGCAGTGGGTGATTGTTACTCTTAACAATCGATTGTGAATTGAAACTACATTTCAATTCTCCCTTTGATGAAGATTAGTGTTTACTAATCCGCAGGGCTTCCACAAACCATAAGTGACACCTAACAGTATGTCATGGCTACCCAAGCTAAGTAAAAGTGCTTGGAGAACCTATCCAGTTACAATTACAATGCAATACGGTCATTCTCTAACTTTTAATCACATTGTTTGAGTGATAGTTTGTTTCATGTCTACTATCCAATGTGATACTTCTCTATATGATTCAATTAAATATGATTTGGACCAAACTTCCTAAGTCATATTCGTATGCTTTAGCCAAAGACTCCTGAATCATATCTCAGAGTATTATCCTTCCACCATGAAAGGTTAGAGATCCCCTGTTGTGCATTCATATGCCTATATGACTAGATAGCTTGACCCCAACAATGTCGTGGGCACTCTCAATGGAATACCTTTAACATGATCAAAGATCAAGGATCCAACCATTAGATATCTACGATGCCTCAGGTCAATGTACTACTTTGCATATTGTAACTTAAGAGTTCTTACATGACATGTATGTTCGAACTCCCTTTTGATCGTTGTTCAGTGTACTCAATTACCTTTTGAGCACCTATGTGTTTGTCCCAATGTCCAACACTGAATGACTTAAAACTTGTCATACTTACGCTTGAGTTAACATAACACATACTAACCTTAACAGATTGTCAATGCCCAATTGGCAATCCTATGGCTAGGAACGTTTTAGGAATGAACATAAGAGAAGGGTCTCATTAATCTAACTTACTTATATCATTTCTCTCTTAGATTAAATACATTCTTTGGATTCCTTTATTGCTTAAATGCATAATACATTAAATAGTGATTAACAATAAGATTTTCCCTTCATTAAACATATAATAGTTTAACACAATAAGTATTCCAAAAGCTATTACATCAAATGAGTGGCTTTGTGGGCATTCTTCTAACAGTTAGATCTGAGTTGGTAACGCCTGTTATGCCGAAAATAGCTAGTACGATTACTGATAGGGTTGCTCAACATAGAGGTTCCATCATGCCCCCAAAGCCGAAGTCTGTGCCAAGGCGTCCGTTTGAAAAGTGAGAAGGTAGACCCTACTAATAAAGTGGCGCCAAGGCCTACTCCTTTTGTTATTGAGACTAGTTCGCATGCTGAGAAATAAGAGACTACTCGTGTGGGCAGTTGTTGATGCGAAAATTACTTGACACACAAATTAAACCCTCTTTTTGACAATTGTAGTATAGATGTAAGTAGGGTATCGTTCTAGGCCGGGGATTAGGAGGGATTGCTAATCTATTCTAAATTAATTTAAAAATATTAAATAAGACTCAAGGACACAAAATTAGGCTAAAAACTCTAATAACTCGAAACACACTTAAAATGACTCAAAATAATGAAAACAATTAAATTAAACACTAGGAACTGAAATGGACGGAAATTAAATTAAAAGACTAACAATAAAGAAAACTAACTAAATAATATAATTTAATAATGGATGGGTG